GCGTAATGATAATTGGATAAGTCTTAAAAAACCATTTCTAAGTGGGATCAGGGGAAGTAAAATTCTCATGACAACTCGCAGCGAAAATGTTGAAAAAATAATCCATTTTGATACTATTCAAGTGTTACCTCTGGATAAATTGTCAATCGAAAATTGTTGGTTAGTGTTTGCGAACCATGCATTTCCTCCCTCAGAATCCAATAATAATAGAAGTGCTCTAGAAAGAATTGGAAGGGAAATTTTAAAAAGGTTTGATGGATCATGCTTAGCAACACAATCTCTAAGAGGTATGTTGAGAAAAGAGTATGATATCAGGGATTGGAATAATATACTTGAGAGTGACATAAGGGAACTTCCTAAAAGTCAGTGTGAAATTATTCAGACACTAAGGATTAGTTATTATTATCTCCCTTCACACATTTGACAAGCATACTCTACAATAATAAAATATTATCCTTTTTGGGCTAAAGTCCTCGATGCTTTTGGTGATCACCAAAAAAATCTCTCCGACATTGGAGTATCCCAACAATTATCATTGAGTCTTATAAATTGAATGATCTAGATTCACCTCAGCTTGAGTTGATGGAAAAGTTGAGAGATAAAAAATTATTAGTTGTCTTAGATGATGTTTGGATTGAGCGTGATGATAATTGGATAAGTCTTAAAAAACAATTTCTAAGTGGGATTAGGGAAAGTAAAATTCTCATGGAAACTCGCATCGAAAATGTTGCGAAAATAATACATTTTGATACTATACGAGTGTATTCTCTGGACAAATTGTCAAACGAAAATTGTTGGTTAGTGTTTGGGACCCATGTATTTCCTCCCTCAGAATCCAATAATAATAGAAGTGCTCTAGAAAGAATTGGAAAGGAAATTGTTAAAAAGTTTGATGGATCGCCTTTAGAAGCACAATCTCTAAGAGGTATGTTAAGAAAAGAGTATGATATGAGGGATTGGAATAATATACATAGAGTGACATTTGGGAACTTCTTAAAAGTCATTGTGAAATTATTCCGACACTAAGGATTAATTATTATTATCTCCCTTCACACATTTGCAAGCATACTCTACAATAATGAAATATTATCTATTTTGGGCCTAAGTCCTTAATGCTTTTTGTCATCACCTAGAGGCCTCTCCGACATTGGAGTATCCCAACAATTACCCATGAGTCTCGTAAACTGAATGATCTAGATTCACTTCAGCTTGAGTTGATGGAAAAGTTGAGAGATAAAAAGTTCTTTGTTGTCTTGGATGATGATTGGATTTGAGCGTAATGATAATTGGATAAGTCTTAAAAAACCATTTCTAAGTGGGCTCAGGGGAAGCAAAATTCTCATGACAACTCACAGTGAAAATGTTGCGAAAATAGTCCATTTTGATACTATTCAAGTGTATCCTCTAGACAAATTATCAAATGAAAATTGATCATTAGTGTTTGTGAAGCATGCATTTCCTCCCTTAGAATCCATCCGAACTCCCAAATCACGCACAAAATTCACGCCCAGAACGACTCGTTCTGAAATCAGAATGACCCGTTCCGGGACTCATCCAGAACGGCCCGTTCTCCCTCCAGAACGGTCCGTTCTCCTTCCCAGAACGGCCCGTTCTCAGCTACAATATGTAGTTCAATTCAGTAGCTTGGAACGGCCCGTTCCAGTTTGGGAACGGCCCGTTCTGGGCTACTGAATCAGCCTTTTTTTTTTTTTTTTTAACAATGTTACAGTTGAAACTACTCAAAAAAAAGTTGGTACCTACCAAGCAAGTATTAGAGGCCCGGAACATACGAACTCGAGAATTGGTCAAAAAAATGTAAGAGATGGAAAATTCTTTGAGCAGCTAAGCAATTGAGACAGTTACCAAAACTTAGTCGAAGAAACAAAGAACGTGGGATAAACGGTTACGAGAAGTTACATCTTAAACCCACGTAACAAGCATAGTGGATAGCGGTTATTCCCCATAACAACACATGCATAAATATTGCCATTAGAAAAAAATATATAAATTATTGAAATCTTAGATATGTATATTTTATTTTATTTTTATCAAATGCTCTCTTTCTTTTGGATATTTAACTATAGAATTTTTTGTACTAAAGGCTTATTTCTCATTTTGTCATACTTAGCACACACTTTTGTTTAGAGATATATTTTATTTCAGTTTGCTTGAGAGATGAAGATTGAAGAGTACTGCAACCAAAGAGTAATAAAAAAATGAGAAAAGAAATCCTTAAAAGTAGAACTAAATATATCTATTTTTACTAAATATCTTCTTTTTTTTTTAAAAAAAAAAAAAAGCAAATATTAATTTATTAATGATTAAGAGAACAAAGATTGAAGCACAATGTGCCCATCCCAGATCAAGCCAAAAGGTATATAAAAATATAGTTGACATAAGTATTTCTTATCTTGTACATCCTTGAATTTGTTTACGTATAAACTATAACATCATAAAACAAGAATTGATGGCTTGTGGGCAATAGTTCAAGATCGTGGTAAATGATTGTGCTCATTTGATCAAGTCAAAAAGTAAGATATCTTTAATATTTCATCTTTGCCTCTTTGCTTGTGTTATATTACTGATTATTAATTTCGGGATTCAAACTTTGAGGCTTGGCCTAATAAACAAATACAAAAATGAATACATTAGGAGTAACTAATAGGATCCTATAGCCTATAATAGGACTGCCAAAACGGTAAACTATAAAGAAAACCATGTTTCTTCCATTCTTTTTTTAAGAAATTTTTTCAATGCCAAAACACATATATGATATGATGTGTTTCTACAAACAAGGCCCACAAAAACAATAAAAAGTTAAAAACTTATACCGGATATAGATAAGACTAAAGTACCATAAAGAGGAAATAGGAGAATCCTCAACATAGATATTATAAGGAGTGCGCAGTTTACAAGAGTCTAAATCACTCTACACATACCAAGATTATTGGATCCTAATGGGCTTGGTTGTGGGCCTAAATTCATTAAGGTTAGTATAAATCAGTGTAATCAGCGACTGATAAAGGTACGTTTTCATAACTACCAATTTGATTAGCATTGATATCTCTGAGACCGAGGATTGACTTAAGCATTGGAGTGTCTTTTGCAAGTCCCTAGGATACATCATGGAAGACGAAGACTCAGCAGGAGTAGCAAAATTACCGGAGTACCCTCGTGCAGGTACATTTTGGCGCCCAACGTGGGGCCTGATTTTGAAGGCCTGCATTGTTTATCTCTTTTGCAGGATGAAGAGTTTGTAGAAGATGGTTACAACCACTTGGTCCAACCCGAATACGACTCGGGGCCGATTACTATGGAGGATAAAACTGATCTCTTAGATGCTGTGAATATGCTTCGCGAAGAAATAACAGTTGTCAAGCAAGTTCGGGAAAAAGACGCTCAGGAGCTTGAAGCACTCAGATCGAGCTTGAAAAATAACTCAAGACCCCGGCCAAGGACACACTTGGTCGAGCTTGAATAACAAATCAAGACCTCGACCAAGGACACACTCGGTCGAGCGCGTAAAACAACTTAAGACCTCGGCTGAGGACACACTCGTTCGAGCGCATAAAACAAATCAAGACCTCATCCGAGGACACACTCGGTCGAGCGTGAAAAACAATTCAAGTCCTCGGCCGAGGACACACTCGGTCGAGCGCGTAAAACAAATCAAGACCTCAGCCGAGGACTCAGTCGAGCGTGAAAAACAATTCAAGTCCTCGGCTGAGGACAACTCGGTCGAGCGTGAAAAACGAATCAAGACCTCGGCCGAGAACACACTCGGTCGAGCGTGAAAAACGAATCTAGACCTCGGCCGAGGACACACTCGGTCGAGTACGTAAAACAAATCAAGACCTCAGTCGAGGACACACTTGGTCGAGTACGTAAAACAAACAAGACCTCGACCGAGGACACACTCGGTCGAGCGAAAAACGAATCAAGACCTCGGCCGAGGACACACTCGGTCGAGCATAAAAAACGAATCAAGACCCCGGCCGAGAACACTCGGTCTAGTACGTAAAACAAATCAAGACCTCGACCAAAGATACATTCGATCGAGCGTGAAAAAGAACTCAAGACTTCGGCTGAGGACACACTCTTCGAACGAGAGCGTAAAACAACTCAATCCTTCTACCGAGTATAACTTCTAACACACATGATACCTCGACCGAGAGGCAGTTGGTCGAAAGTAACTTCAAATTAATCAATACATATTAACCGAAGACATAATCCATTGAACACGACTTTAAGCATTTTAGACCCTTCGGCCTAAGGCTTTTAATCAAAACTTTGAGGTTATAATGTCATGACACCCTGGTCAAAGACCTTTGGACAAAACCTTTTGAAGTTATTTATAGTATTAAAGTCCACGGTCGAGAAACCTTAGTAAAAGCTAGGCTTGACATTAAAAGTCCTCGGTTTTATTGAAAACGATGTGATTGAAAAGTTAGGTGTTGAAGCCCCTTCGGCCAAAAATTGTCAAGGCCAAAAGCTTATAACCCCTCGGTTAAAAACTTACCAAGTTCCCATGTAATAATTATGATTCCTCGGCCAGGGAAACTTCTAAAAACTGTTTTATACATTATTAGTCCTCGGCCAGAAAGTTAGAAAGCTAAAAGTTTCGTATACAATAATCCTCGACAAGTGAAAGTTGAAAATTATTTTATGTCCTCGGTCAAAGGAATTAAAAATTAAGTTTTAACATATTAAAAGGCCCTCAGCCAATTAAGAAAACCATTTTGGTCCTCGGCCAAATGTTTAAAAGCTAAAAGTCTCGCGTATAAAGCATTCTCGGCCATAAAAGTTTTGAAAGCCAAAGTTATATATATGTTGGCCCTCGGCCAAATAATTGAAACATAAAGCTGTACGTACAAAAGATTCCTTGGTTAAAAAGTTTTGAAAGCCAAAGTTTTATATATATATATAGTAGTCCTCGGCCAAATATGATTGAAAACTTAAATTTTACATATAAAAAGATTCGGCCAAGTGATAGTTGAGAATCGTTTTATGTCCTCGGTCAAAGGAATCAAAAGTTAAATTTTACATATCAAATGGCTTACAGGAATAATTAGGAATTCTTGACCAAAAATTTGTCGATCGAATATTTTGATAATAAACTCAAAACGAGAACACGTCTAATCGTTATTAACCAATGAGTATTCTTGGCAATATGGTAAACATCCCATTAATTATTCCCAGTAATATATAGTCAAAACCACGAGATCAAAACGAGATAAAACGAGATAAAACGAGTAAGAAGAGCATAAGAAACGTCAAAACTTGATGTTCATTCATAACACACTAACGGATTACATAAAATTCAAAGGTCATAGAAATGCAAAAAATAAACAAACATCAAGAAGTAAGAATTTAAGCATCAGGATCAACATCGGCTGGAGCAACATTGTCCTCGGCAACTAGGGAGGAGGGAGGAGGAGTATTGGCATCTTCAGTAGTAGCCTCATCAGGAATATCGTTCAAATCCATGAAGTTTCCCTTGTAAAAATCTTTTCCAAGGTCAAATTGAAAGTCCGAGGGAACATCAAGGAAACGAATGGCCTGCCGAACGGCATGATTAAAGCCCTCTTCATGTTCATTGTAAATCCTCTCCTCGACAACATTTTTGTAGGACGCATAATCAGAAATAGCTTTGTCTCTTTGAGCAGTCACCTCTTCAAGTTGTCCCTCGAACTCCCCCACCACTTTGGCCTTCGAAGCTTCGGCCTCACCTAACTTCTCTCGAAAATTGCTTACCAAGCCATGCAGTTTCGTGCGCTCGGCCTTAAGCTTGTCAAGTTCGGCAGAAAGCTCTTTATTTTTGCTGAGAGCCGAAGTAAGGGCAACTTCCGAATTCTTCAAACTGGTACAAAGCTTATCCATCTCAGTGATCGGTTCCATGAAGAGAGTTTGAGCTATTGCCATAGAACGACCCATCAACTCATACAAGAGAGACCACTTTGTCAACAAGTTCTCTTGAGATAAAAAGTTACGACCTTCCTGGGAAATAAACCCTTGGCCGAAGACTTCACGTGTGTTGATTGTCGGATTCAGAAAACTACTCGAAGTCAATGCAGGGGGCAAAGTACATGGACTGATGAAGGAAGGGGTCAAATGCTTTTGTTTCTTAGCTCTCATTCCAGCCTCGGCCTCGATTTCCATGCGTTCGGTGGTTCTATGCTTAGGGCCCTTGTCCTTGTCTTTTGAAGGATTCTTCTTCTCAACCCGAGGAGGGACTACATCCACCAAAGGCTCAGCAGGGTGAACTCCAAGTGAAGGAGTAGCAGTAGCAGCAGTGGCCTCGGCCTTAGCATGTTCCTTTCGGACTTGGCGGAAGGAAGGGACGTTAGCACCAGAAGAAGCCATAATACCTATGAAAAAGATAAGTTAAAATCAAATTCACGATCACGAAACATGAGCAAGAGAATAATATATACCTTCAAGGTCTCGAATGGGATTGGGAGACTTAAGCAAATCTATAAGTCGTCGACATGGGAGGTCACGTGGAAGACTTTCAACAAATGAGAAGTCAGAAAGTTCCCCGGGTGTAAGGAAGGAATGAGGAAGAATATCATATCGGAGTGGAGTCCGAGTCCAATAAAAAGGAAACAAAGGAGTATTATGATTATCAAAAAAGTAAGATTGACCACTCGGATGTATACACACCTTAAAAAAACCCACATTGAACTTTTTATAAGAAGAGGTGAAAGGTTTCAAGAGTCTCCGAGAAGGGACTCGAGCTAAAGAGACCCACTTAATATGTTCGGCCGGACGACAATAATAATGAAAAAGAAACAAGCTAGATGTCGCTTTCACGTGGGTAAACTTGCACAAACTCCAAAAGGCTTGCATGGATGCCCAACTATTTGGATGCAATTGAGTAGGTGCTACATTTAGGATTCGGAGAATACTGGTGAGGAAAGGATGGAAAGGAAGAATAATGCCGAGATCACGAAAAAGACAATCATACATGTAAAATAATTGCTTCGATTTGCTATACGGTTGACAGGCAAATATATAATCTAGAGTAGAAGAGGCATCAGTTTTACAAGTCCTAGCATAAATAGGGTACGGTTCGTCCCTAGAAGGGAATGAGGATATTTCTACAATGCTTATGAAGTTCTCTAAAAGTCTAGGATCACAAAACCTAGAATTGTATGTAGCTACCTCAGGATGAACCCATTCAAACCTCGGTACCACTTTAGACTTACTATCATAAAGAGGATCTATATCTCCATCCTCTTCCTCGGTAGAGAGGATACCTTCAACATGATTTAAGCTTTCAGAGGAAGATGAAGAGCCCATACACGAGTGGTGAAGAGAATCATTATTCTCAAATGAAGACAAATTAGAGAAAGGAGAAGAAAAACTGGAAGTAGAAAAAGAACTCGTTACCTAGAAAAGCAAAGAAGACTTCGGGTAAGACAAAGCATAAGAAACCAAGAGCAACTAGGAGGAGAGTCTTCAACCTCAGATAGTAAAATTTTCAACAGCGGAGTAAATGACATGGTGAGAATAAACAAGCATTTATAGCCGCAGGGTGAAAAACCTTTCCGTAAATAATAATAATAAACAAATAAAAAATGCCTCAGTTAAGAGGCTTCGTTTTTTAGAAAATCATCATGAGAGTGACATTTGGGAACTTCTTAAAAGTCATTGTGAAATTATTTTGACACTAAGGATTAGTTATTATTATCTCCCTTCACACATTTGACAAGCATACTCTACAATAATAAAATATTGTCCGTTCTAGGCCTAAGTCCTTAATTCTTTTGGTCATCACCTAAAAGGCCTCTCCGACATTGGAGTATCCCAACAATTACCCATGAGCTTTGTAAATTGAATGATTTAGATTCACTTTAGCTTGATTTGATGGAAAATGTGAGAGATAAAAAATTCTTAGTTGTCTTGGATGATGATTAGATTGAGCGTAATGATAATTGGATAAGTCTTAAAAAACCATTTCTAAGTGGGATCAGGGGTACACTAGTAGAAAAAAGACTTTTAAAATCGGTTATTTTTAACTTTTAAAATCGGTTCCGTAACCGATTTTGAAAGAGCCGATTTTAAAAGTTAACTTTTAAGATCGGTTGTTTTATAACCGATCTTAAAAGTCTGGGCGGTGAAAAAAATTAAACTGGAACGGGTCGTTCTGCATTCAGAACGACCTGTTCTCCATTCAGATCGGCTCGTTCTCCAGAGACAACGACTCATTCTCCATGGAGAACGCTCCGTTCTCATTGCAGAACGGCCCGTTCTCCTTGCAGAACGGGTCGTTCTCCTTGCAGAACTGGACGTTCCAGGTTTGAAATTTACCGAAACTAAACCTACAACGAAAATAAAGACAAGAAGAGCATGAGAAAAATGAAATGAGACACAAGAAGCATGAGAAGATGAAAATGAAAACGAAAATGATAACGAAATTTACTTTATTGAAGACTTTAGAAAATGAAAGCATCAGAGAGTAAAGAAAGGAATGGAGGGGAAAGATTAAAGAGAATGAGAATGGAGGGGAATATAAAAGATTTCTGACGATACTTTTAAAATCGGTTGTTTAAGAACCGATTTTGTATACTACATACAAAATCAGTTGTGAAATAACCGATTTTAAAAGTAGCACTTTTAAGATCGGTCATAAAATAACTCATCTTAAAAGTGTCACTTTTAAGATTGGTTCTTTTGTAACTGATCTTAAAAGTTGTGTCAGACATACCTTTTAAGATCGGTCATAAAATAACCGATCTTAAAAGTACTTTTAAGATTAGTTAAATTTTAACCGATCTTAAAAGTGTTCATGTTATTTACAAAATTGCCACCGCGTCACTTTTAAGATCGGTTACCTTATAACCGATCTTAAAACTTCGATTTTAAATCCAATTTTTGCACTAGTGGAAGTAAAATTCTCATGACAACTCGCAACGAAAATGTTGCGCAAATAGTCCATTTTGATACTATTCAAGTGTATCTTCTGGACAAATTGTCAAATGAAAATTGTTGGTTCGTGTTTGCGATTTTTTATCAGAGGAGCATAATATAATTTTATTCATGAGTCTCTATTTATAGAGAAAATTTATACAAAATCAAATATTAATATTATCCTATTCTAAAATAAGGAAATAAATCCTAAAATAATCAGAACAGATTAAATCTAAATATTTGAAATATAAATAAAATATTCTTATAAAAACTAACTTAATCTCTCAGAAATTTTTTACGGATTTAATTATTTCTGGCGGATTTTTTTCCAACCCCACTTTTTCCGACGGATTGAAATCCGTCAGAAAAAAAAATCTGTCAGAAATTGAGCTATTTCTGTCAGAAATCAGCATTTTTCTTGTAGTGGTTTGATCCTTTCATTTAATGCACTTGATCTTGCATTAAATGTTGCTTATATATATATATATAACATTTTAAAATATAAATTTATAATCTATAAAATAAATAATTTTATTAAAATTTTATCTTATTACAACGAATAAATAGCGTATTTATAACAAATATGTAAAAATGCGATACCTTCTTTTCTTGATCAACTTTGATGTTGTTTTCACTTATGATATCATCATCGTACTTATGACCTACAAAAAAAATACACAAAATTCATAAAAAGTGATTTCTTCAAGAATTTTGAGATACAAAGGTTTTGAGTGTAACAAATATAATGCACGTGGTTATCTCTAACAAGTGTGTTAGTGTTTCAGAGGAACTTAAGTACAGGTAAAGTGAAGAACAAGTATATGCATCAGACGATACAAGACGATAGATGAAAGGCCAACACAAGCATCCAATAAGCCAAATCAAGAACAAGACAAAAGCGCGTCAAGCACAACCTAAAGCAAAACATAAAGACTCAGATGAAGGTTGGTCAAAGATAATTTGAAAGTCTGACCATATACAAGTTGACCAGACGAAAGGAAAAGTCAATGCGTTAATAGCAAATGCTCAAACAAAGGTCAAGGCTTAAGCTACAATATAGACTACCAGACGCAGACGAAAATTGTCACGCAATCACATGAGGAATCAAGTTTCAAAGGAAAATTTGAATATCGTCCACACTCACAGGAGAAAACACGAAGTCATCGAAATTGTGAGAAGAAAAGAAGAAAGAAGGAAAGTAAGCACAAAACGTCAAATCCCGAGTGTGTCAGAAAAAAGGACACCTATTTTTCTGATAAAGATAACGTCTCTGCAGCTAATCCCTAAGATTCTGTGAAAGTTAGAATCTGCAAATTCAAAATCAAAAAAAAAAAAAAAAGCTTACTCATCAGAATTTCACAGTTAAGCGTGCTTGACTTGGAGTAGTACAGGGATGGGTGACATTCTGGGAAGTTTCTCAGAAATTGTACAAATAAGGATAAAACACGCTAAACAGTAAAATATCGTAAAATAGAACCCTTGAGAGGCCAAATATGAGGGTTGTTACATTAATAAATTTATTAAAATTAAAAAAAAATTCTGATTGAAATTTCTAACGGAAAATTGCGTCAGAAATTTTGCAACGCGGAAACATCATAATCTTCTTCTACAGCTTCCCAGAGATCTAAACCTTCTAGGTATGCCTCCATTCTCACCGCCCAAAGATCGTAACTTTCTCCATCAAAAATAGGTGGGGAAATTTGTGAAAAGTTTGTTTCTGCTTCCATCTCCAAGATCGTAACCTTAGCTCTAGATACCAATGATGGGGTTATTTTATGATATTTGTTTGAGAGGATATTTTATAATAAGACTTATTTTTTTATCAGAGGAGCATAATATAATTTTATTCATGAGTCTCTATTTATAGAGAAAATTTATACAAAATCAAATATTAATATTATCCTATTCTAAAATAAGGAAATAAATCCTAAAATAATCAGAACAGATTAAATCTAAATATTTGAAATATAAATAAAATATTCTTATAAAAACTAACTTAATCTCCTAAAGATATTTAGGCATATTCCCAACACGGTCATCACCTAAAATGCCTCTCCGACATTGGAGTATCCCAACAGTTATCAATGAGTCTTGTAAATTGAATGATGCTAGATTCACTTCAGCTTGAGTTGATGGAAAAGTTGAGAGATAAAAAATTCTTAGTTGTCTTGGATGATGTTTGGATTGAGCGTAATGATAATTGGATAAGTCTTAAAAAACCATTTCTAAGTGGGATCAGGGAAAGTAAAATTCTCATGACAACTCGCAGCGAAAATGTTGCAAAAATAGTCCATTTTGATACTATTCAAGAGTATCCTCTGGACAAATTGTGTAACAAAAAACGTTGGTTAGTGTTTGGGAACCGTGCATTTTCTCCCTCAGAATCCAATAATATTAGAAGTGCTCTAGAAAGAATTGGAAGGGAAATTGTTAAAAAGTTTGATGGATCGCCTTTAGTAGCACAATCTCTAAAAGGTATGTTGAGAGAAGAGTATGATATCAGGGATTGGAATAATATACTTGAGAGTGACATTTGGGAACTTCTTAAAAGTCATTGTGAAATTATTTTGACACTAAGGATTAGTTATTATTATCTCCCTTCACACATTTGACAAGCATACTCTACAATAATAAAATATTGTCCGTTCTAGGCCTAAGTCCTTAATTCTTTTGGTCATCACCTAAAAGGCCTCTCCGACATTGGAGTATCCCAACAATTACCCATGAGCTTTGTAAATTGAATGATTTAGATTCACTTTAGCTTGATTTGATGGAAAATGTGAGAGATAAACTCCCTTCACACATTTGACAAGCATACTCTACAATAATAAAATATTGTCCGTTCTAGGCCTAAGTCCTTAATTCTTTTGGTCATCACCTAAAAGGCCTCTCCGACATTGGAGTATCCCAACAATTACCCATGAGCTTTGTAAATTGAATGATTTAGATTCACTTTAGCTTGATTTGATGGAAAATGTGAGAGATAAAAAATTCTTAGTTGTCTTGGATGATGATTAAAAACCCTAACAGATGTTATGCGGAACGAGAAAAGAAGAGCAATGTTGTGGATGTGGCACGGTGGAGATGATGAGGAAAAGCTGAGAAAAGTGTGCGGTGAGCGGTGAGCGGTATGCGGAGGTTACGCGTTTACGGAGGTGACTTATCTGAGAAGTGTTGTGCGGTGTTACGGTGATGAGGAAAAATAGTATTGCGGAGGTGAATGCAAAGCGAAGGAAGACGGAAATGTGTGTTTACACGGAGGATTCAAAAATATTTCCAGTTTTTAAATTAATAAAAATAATCATAAATAAGAAAATTGACAGGAAATACTACTCACCAAAAAAAATAAATTACTTGCGAATTTATATTTAAAATAAAATTTGTAGGAAAATAAAAAAATTCTTGTAAATTTTTTTTAAAATTTTTATTTGCAACAAAAAATTCATATAATTAATATTTTTGTAGTAAAATTTGCAAAAATTTTCTGCAAATTTAAAATTACAAAAATATTTACAATAATTTATTAGAGATTTATATTTGCAAGAATTTTTGCAGT